AAATGTGTGACGCAAAGCATTCAAAATCCCACGCTTCAAAATCCCAAAATTCAACGATTTGTGGGCTCGAGGGAATTTTCTTAAGTGGTGAAGCAAAGTCGGCGAACCCAAGTAGTAGATTCATCATCAGTGAATGGCTGTAGCGATGCCACGTCCTTATCTTCCACGTATCGGCTCGGATGATTCAGTGGCATCTTCCGTTTCCTCTGCAGAGACGTTGACCGGGAAGTCCTAGGGTTGAGTCCCGGCAGTATTGAATTTTTGACACTAGCTTCTTAACTTGTAAGAATTATATCAGAGTTCGAGGGAGAATTCTACCGTCAGGCCGCTCTGACCAACAGTTTTCCCAAGTAAACGGGGAGAACAATCATCACATTCCGGGATATAACATGTACTACACTTACGGGAATAGTCCTGCTTTAATTCACTCCCGGAAAAACTGAATGCTCACCAACTCTTCTGCCACGTTCGTCTCCAAACACTCGATTTCCGAGCGCAAAAATGAATTTCTCAGGTCAACAAAGACCCCACTTTGCGGTTCCGTTCTCCGCTTCCCACGTCCGACGCGATGACGTCACAACGTCACGCGCGCGGCCGCTCGCAAAGCTCACGTTCGCTCTCGCGCGTTGTGGAGCGAGACGACGCACCGGGGCAGCGCGGCGGGCAGGCGTCACGCCCCCACGCACGCCGCGGCGCGGGCCAGCACGGGGCCGCGGAGGCGGTGACGTAAGGCTGCCCCATTCATCGCGAGGCACGCAGCCGGCCACGCATTCAGCGTCCACGTGCGTTGGCTTTTCACGCCCTAAAGGATTATTTGGTTTATTTTCCATGAGCGAATTTCTCGGTATATTCCCGTTCCCGCTTGCAGTTTTCATATAACTGCCGATGCATGACAATGTGAAGAAGTCAATGCGTCTGACAAGCTGTAGATTAAAAACAAAGGTTCTCCTAGCACATGTTACACACATACAAACTCGTCACGCATTTCGATTCTGACGTGTTAGGGGTTCGTGGCTATTTAATTTGAACGAAAAAGATATTGATTACTAATTGTTATATAAAACATATTCATGTCGATAATTTATGTCCCTTTATGCGGAAGGGGAAATAGCTCCGTATGGAAAGTGATTTTAAAAATGAGCAACTAATACCAGTGATAATTCGCTTGAACCTTATGGCTTGTCGTTGACAATACGTTTAAAACTGCAGGTTCACGTCGCACCCGAATGCCTCAATAAACAAGTATATCATCTGGCGAATGGTTTGACGTTCAACTACAAAACTGCAAACGAGTTATAAATCCAAACATCTAATGGTTTCTTATACCTTCCCATTGTAGAGTTGTTCACCGTGAATGCTTTCGCAAGTACGGCATGGAACTCATTGTGACACCTATACAATGCATCACGCATCGATACATAGACTCTTTGGCGATGTACCTTCTATTCATCTGATAGTGCGGAAATCAGATCACACCGTACCTACCACACATGATACACAGCCGCTTGGAATTGCCCTTTCACTCGATCCACTTTCGTTGACCTTTTATCTTCCACGTCGACAGCGAGTAAATATTTCGGGTTCCATAGAGTTCAGGGTGAAAGGACATGACGCGCGCAAGATTTTACTTTTATCTTAGTAGATTGTATGAAACAAAACACTCAATGAACCATTAATGAATACAATGGAAATCATACGTGCAACTCTTACATGATTCACCTGTCATATCTGTCTCCAAGTAGAGCGATCACCCCAAATAGCGTAAACTTTCGCCGTTCCGTCAGCACCAAATTCCGTTCTGGCAACCTTGTTTCCCGCCCAAAGGCCAACACCCTCCAAGCAACACACATGACGTCGCGATTCAGCACAACAGGTGCATTTGTCGCCAGGGAGGCGGAACCACGCGTGGTCAGTCACACGTGCAAGATGCGAACAACAACCCTCGCATCCACTTTCCGTCTCAGCAGAAAATTTTACCAGTTTTCCGAAATTTGAGGTCTTAATTGATAGTGGACTTACCGTAATAAATTATTTAAAGATCCTTTTTATCCCCAGTAAAGAAAGTAAATAGGTTAATATCACATTGTAGATTACACCCACGTAAATTTACAGTTATTTGATCGCACACGTAATGATTGCACGATTCAACATTCATAAAAAATTCTATGTATCTGAGTGAGCATATTAAAATATATTCAAATTCCTTAGGTCCATGCTGTAATATAAAATTCCAAAAGATACCTAATTCGTTTCCTAAAGCATGCTTCCAGCCCGAAGCACCTAATGAAGTCTCAGTTTCAAATCAATGTCGTCTTCATTTACGTAACGAATCTCATCCGTTCAGGCTATCAGACCTACCATTCTGCCTGACCATGTACATTTCGCTCAGCACCTTTCGTTATGTAACAGCAAACGAATACATTACTCGGTAGACAAAGCAGACTATTAGAATTTTATCACAGACGCTTCATTTAGATATGAGGATCTTTTACTCGCAGTAAATCTACAACATGGAACAGCCGGATTTACTTCCGCTTCGAAGGCAAGAATTCGAAGAAATTTAAAACCGGCTTCGATCGGCTTTGAACCTGCGAACTTGGAATTAACAGTTTGATACGTTAACCGCTCCACAACCGAATCCGCCATACACTTGTCAGCCCGGCGCGAGGGCGCTGATGCAAGACGGGTCCATTCAGCGCCAAGGGGGTGGAAACGTACATCGCGTGTGAGGCACACAAGCGCGGTAGCCTTTCGCATGTGCCCTGGGAGAGCCAGGTCGCGGCCCGGCACGCTGCGGTGCGGTGTGGCGTGGCGTGGCGTGGCATAGCGTAGCGCGGCGGCGACAGCGCTAGCACGATATGTGCCCGGAGAGAAGGGAAGAGGTACTTCCGTATGCGGGATGCGGGTTCCACAAGCCACTCGCAGTCAATTAACGCCGCGATTGACGTTTCTAGGGATGTTACGCCGCGAGTCGCGCGCGAATTGTGTTGCGCAATCGAGTAAGGTCGCCGTCGGCGGCGATGGAGTTTGATGCCGCGTCTGAGGAGCCGATGGCAACCGATTCGTGTTTCGCGTTAGACGATAACAGTCCTCACTATGTAGTTGAGGCTTCGTTGTTTTATATCGTCACGTGTCCCGTCTAAACATCATACCGTCCATATTCGTTCACGGCTAATCTTTTACGCCTCATGATCACTCTACACATCCTTCACGAAGTTCAAGGCAAAAGCACACCATCGATGAGATCACCGATCAGTGAAAGAAGGACTTAAAAGCTTAAATCTGCCCCCCACGTTCAGTAATGGATATAGCATAAAAACTTTCTGCAACATATCACAGACTTTGTTTTATATTTAAGAGTTATATAAAATTACAACGACAGAAGGAAATTGTAAGGTACCTTAATTATATCCGCATAAAGAAATGGATATTTACATCTTTCTTAGGTGCATGTGGCTTTGAGATCTCATTTTTGTAAATAAAAACTTCTATATAGCAAATATCTATCGGAGGATCATCTGACTGAGAAATGTGTTCTGTGTCCACAGCAACGAATGGTAGCGCTGCTAGCGCTGCTGCTGGCAGCAGCGGCGGCGGCAGCGGAGGAGCAGGCTGCGGCGGCGGCGCCGCCGGCGGCGGAGGCGTCTCCGGCAGCGGAGGCGTCGGTGGCGGCGGCGGCGGAGGACGCGTCGAACGCCGACGGCGGCAAGGGCAAGCCCACCAAGCGCGGGCTCTTCGACCTCGGCTACGGCGGCCACGGCGGCTACGGCGGGGACTTGGGCGGCTACGGCGCCTACGGAGGCTACGGCGGGGACTTGGGCGGCTACGGCGGCCACGTCAAGACAGTCTCCGTCACCCACAAGGTCGGCATCCCGGTGCCGCAGCCCTACCCCGTCCACGTGCCCGTCGAGAAGCACGTGCCCTACCCCGTCGAGAAGCCCGTGCCCTACCCCGTCAAGGTGCCCGTCGACCGCCCATACCCGGTGCACGTGCCCGTGGAGAAGCCCTACCCAGTCACCGTCGAGAAGCCCTACCCGGTGCCCGTCAAGGTGCCAGTGGACCGCCCCTACGCCGTGCCCGTCCACGTGGAGAAGAAGGTCCCCTACCCTGTCCACGTGAAGGTACCCGTCCCGCAGCCCTATCACGTCTACGTCCCTAAGCCCTACCCCGTCGTGGTCGAAAAGAAGGTCCCCGCCCCCTACCCCGTGGAAGTTAAGGTTCCCGTCCCCCAACCTTACCCCGTGCACGTCAAGGTCCCGTACGCCGTGCCTGTAGATCGCCCGTACCCTGTCCACGTCAAGGTGCCTGTTGACAGGCCGGTGCCCGTGCATGTGCCCAAGCCCTACCCCGTCCCCGTGGAGAAACCCGTGCCCTACCCCGTCGAGAAGCCAGTGCCTTACCCAGTCAAGGTCCCCTACGACCGTCCCGTGGCCGTGCCCGTCCTCAAACCTTACCCCGTGCCCGTCGAGAAGCACGTGCCTTACCCCGTTGAGAAGCCCGTGCCCTACCCAGTCGAGAAGCCCGTGCCCTACCCCGTGAAGGTGCCCGTCGACAGGCCCTACCCCGTCCACGTGCCCAAGCCGGTGCCGTACCCGGTGGAGAAGCCCGTGCCGTACCCCGTCGAGAAGCCCGTGCCTTACCCCGTTAAGGTGCCCGTGGAGAAGCCCGTGCCCTACCCCGTGGAGAAACCCGTCGCCTACCCAGTGAAGGTGCCGGTGGGCGTGCCAGTCAAGGTCGACGGCCACGGCTACGGCGGCTTCGGTGGCTACGGAGGCTACGGCAGCTACGGAGGCTACGGCGGCGGCTTGGAGGGCTATGGATACAGCGGCCACCTGGGTTGAGCGTCCGCCTCCGCTCCAGACAGCTCCAACCAAAAACACGTACATTCGTTCTTGTTGTCGTTCGTTCTTTGAACATTTTACATTTTACCAGTATTTATATATGTGTTATTATACTCTCGTTTTCTACCTGCAAGTCTTGTAAAATAAACTAACTTTGTTTACGAGCTCACGGTTTTGTGTTTCCTGCCGCTGCGGCGCGCCCCCCTCCCGCCCTTTCCCCTCGGCCGTCCCAGCGCTCTTCCACGCCCAGGAGAAAAGCGCTGCAGTAAAGGTGTCCGGCGCGGAAACGCGTGCCGCGCGGCGGGCGTGGGGGCGGAGCTGGGGCGGAGAGTGGTGGGAGGCGAGGGGGCGGGGGCATGGGGGGGACGTTGCGGCCATGCGGGTTGGCACAAGAGCGCCTCTTCCGCGCCTCGCTGGTGCAAGGCCGTTGCGCCCTCTTGTGTTAGCGGGGGCGGAGGCGGGGCGATGCTTCCGCCGGATGCGTCGACTCATGTCAGCACGTGGGGGCGAGAGGGGGCGGGGGTAAGTTCACTTTGTCAAGGTAGGTGAAGGCAGAGCAACACACGACCGAAATAAGAGCAACGGACTCGATCGGCAGATTTCGCTTATCCGCAGGAACTGCAGAGAAGGGTAGGTAAGTAGATGTTTTCCATTTTCTTTATATCTTGAGATGCCTCACCAATCAAACTTTCTTCAGGTCACATTTAGTTCAAAAGATGTATAACTTGTAACTTTAGTAATATTTAATATTTCGATGTTGAGGTTTAGGAAAAATATTAAATGCTACTATTTTCGAACGAATTTAGTGCTATAAACATCCAAGTGATTCTAATTTTACACCTACAAGCTCTAATTGGGCCTTGAAGAAAACCTGTCAAGTACGACGTGAATTATATAACCGCTTAATTAAATGGTGTTTCTTCGCCACTCCCGTTTGCAGAACCAGTTGTGAAAGGCAGATCTTTTTTGACGAGTTTTGTAATAAAAAACAAAATTAAAAAAATCAACGCAACGTTGTATTTTGTAACAGGAGTTGAATGCACAAATTAGTCCAGTTTTTGTTGAAGAAATTTGAACTGTCAGAATGCCTTCCCTTTGTGGACATCTACCGTGTTCTACGACATTCTATCCGCATAAAAAGTATAATTTTCAACCATACTTTTAGTGCTCTTGCGTCAGCCTGCTGCATAACGTCAGTCTTTTTCTTTTTGCGCAGTTTATTCTTGTATGATTTCTGGACACTTGCATGTAATACGTTTGACATTTAGAAATTTAGTAGTGGAATATGAATTTATGGCAACAGCCGATGAGAAAAGCTGTACGATATTCGACCGTTGAATAATTTATCAAAATAGTATCCGTTTTTCATCGAACAAAGGAAACCGTAGATGCATGCAACAACAGCCATCCAGACAAACCATTTCCCTTATCTGCAAGAATTTCAGGGAAGACTACCAGAAAACAAAAGGTGCTTGGCCTTCGATCATGATATCTTGGTATTCAAGTTGTCGTCTTCCAGATGAGGTAACATTTTTGTACATAATGGGTGTATTTGTAAATTTAAAAAAGATATTAACTTCACTTCAAAGTACACCACGTTTCATGAAGCGGTGCACAAACAATTTTGCCTAAAAGCATTCATCTGCTCTCAAATACGCATGAAAAATTGAATACGAAGATTAAATGTGGGCGCTGTCTTCATACTCCTTCCATGTGTTACGTAATTAATTACATTATTGTTTCTACTTGGGACGGAAATATGTCAAAACGTATCCTTGAAATAGATAACGCAACACCGGCGAAACATCACTGTGAAATGGCTATGATTAATGTTTTCTCGGTAACAAAGTTAGGTAATTAATTATGTCACATATGTACTTTCAATTTTATAAAGTTAACGTGTTTCTAGCGAAGAACGATTTAAACGAATACCGTTTACAAAGAAGGAAAAGGCGATAAACACGACATTAACGCTTTCCTTATGTTATTCACAGTTAAATAAAGAAGACTACAAGTAAATTTGCCAAAAAATAACAAAATTAAACTCAGAATCTGCCAAATTGTTTTCCTCCAACGACGCACATTAAGTATAAATGTAGCATTCAGTACAGATGAGTTTCTTTTCGGTTGGCTACAATATCTACCACATGTTACCTATCCGAAAGTTTACCCCGTAGTTCAGAAAAGATATAACCCAGATGTTTTAATCACCGGCATTAAAATTCGTACAGATCCACTTAACAGGGAAAGTGCGACCTTTTGCTTTAGAAATCCAGAAGGCAGCAGGAATGCGTTGAGTATCTCCGTAGGAGTTCGAAGTCCTCCTGAATTCGCACCTGCTTTCTTTCCTGTCCCCGACTGCTCCGATCTCTCCCTCGCGGTCCACATCTCCACTCTCGTCGTCGACGACGGGTTTCGCCGCAGGACACGCGGGCAGGCAGGCTGGCGGGCGGGCGGGCGGTCGGTCGGGCGGGCGCTTTCGCTAGTCAAACGTCCGGGGACGAATCGCCCACTAAAAATCTTTTCTAAACAATTCTCTATCACCTATTCACGCCCTTGTGAGTATTAATGTGAACAAGAAATGAATGTATTTTAATTGATCTAATTATCTAACTAGTAACAAATAAGTTGATTGAATGAAAGCCTCACAGGCTTGCGTTAAAAATGTCTACGGAGAGCACGCAAAATTGAAATGATGTATATTCGTTTTTCACTTATTTTATAAATACGTATATTTTGTGTACATTGATTTGAATTTGCATTAATATGCACAGGAGGGTGTATGAGCTCAGGAAAATGGAGGTTTTGTATCAATTATAAGAAATCATTGGCGCAAATGCGCGTTGATGAGATACTGTAGGGTGTAGAATTTCCCACAAACATGGATCCAACTGATTTAAGAAGAAAAAACATGTTCCCAGAGTATGAGATCACGCATATCAACCGCACATGCAATCTACAACTCACCATATCATCCACAATTCGAAAAGGATTAAGGCCCTTAAAATCATGTTTCCACGCCTTCTACTTTCAAAGCGATATTTTCTTTTGCCACTGAATTAATAACTATAATCTGCCAAACCTATAACTTTTTAACAAAATGAACTTCGACAAACAATTTAAAAGTAATACAAAAAAGATCAGAAAACTAATGAATATTACAAAATGAACAATAACAAATATATTAAAGTTTAGATTAACAGACCACGATTAACGAGTGTAATTTTCCCTGGACCAGCTTTTCAGCTGTATTCCTCAGTACGACAACGTTGTTACGTCTTAAAGTGAGAATTATGACATGATGATGATGATGATGATGATGATGATGATGATGATTATGATGATGATAATGAGGGGTTACCGGCCAATCACAAATATGAACATGTCTACGCAGTACTCAAACCTGAAGTCTCCTCGGCTGCCGCAACCGTCTGCGCCACGTGGCAGTCGTATTTTTATTTTTATTATTAAAAAAGTAAATTAAAAAAAAAGACCACGCAGAAGATAGTTTGATATGAGAAGACTGAACAGGCAGCCGCCTAATCCCTGAAGTGAAGAAGAAGAAGTTAATAATTAAAACATTTGTCGTAAATGTAGTAATTTTAAAACATTAGCGCATTGCTCGCGTCGTCGTTTGAACCCTTCTGAGACCACCGTGGGCGGATCCAACCCGTTCACCAGCTTTCCTCCCAGATCGCCCGCGATTCCTCAATTAGAAGTCGCCCAGCGGCAGCGGCTCTGCCATGGAGCGAATCGAAAGGTGATTAGCAAAGCTTATCACAAGGGAATGTTAGGAGGCGTTTGGACCAAACCTTCCATTGAAAATGTACGTAAAGATTAATTTTAAAAAAGGAAAACATTAAACCGTTATATCTAGTGGAATGAAGGAGCTTCCGAGATTTATGTTCGAAGATGTCATGGAGAAACCGACAGAAAATGTGCATAAATGGAAGCATCTGGCCAACATTTTACTTCATTTAATTATTTTTTAATTGTGATTATTTTTGTACGTAAATCGATAAATCTGGTAAGGTAAAGTAAAAGAATCGTGTTCTTCTACATTGAAAGTACTTCTAGAATATTATTGAATATTAAATTTTATTTAACTCTAAGTAGTGATAAGTATACATTTGAATGAAACAAATATGTTGGCTGATTCTCATTTTTTCGCTAGGCAAAGCAATACAAATGATAACCGATTGCGATTGAATAGACTGCACTCCTTTAAATGAAGTTAGCAAACGATGCATGTGAACAACTGTTAGATTGTGAGCAGAATTTCCCAGACAAATTTAAATATAATGCTGTCGTGAACCATTCAAAGAGAACACAATTACTACTTAGTGAATGTTCGTAATGTTTGAAAAGACTATGTAAATTTTTACACATCCTGCAAGATTTTTTTCCAAATTATAAACAAAAAATGCAATGAATTCAATATTACAATCTAGTCATTGAAACAGCAATTTTGCGAATCCATGATTGGAAATCATCCCCTTCATTTCAAGACAATCAGAGGCATTAAAAATCATCAAGCATCCACCAACTTTCGCAAGCCACTTGCTTTTAATCCGTCTCAAGCCCACTCCAATCATTTGTGACGCAATTCTGTCGACGACATTTCTGCACGGACGAGAATCAGCGAAATGAAAGCGGGGGAGCTATTAAGGCCACGACTGATCGCCGGTGAAGAGTTGACAGCGCGCCGGATAGTTGCGGCCACCGCCCGAAATAATGACGGCCCGGGAAGAAGCATCACGTTCGATGGCCGGGGTTAAGGAGCGCCGCTTCAAACGTCACCGCGGTAATTGACCCGCCGGCGAGCGAAGGCCGCTGGCGCAAATCGATGCGTAACGGTGGTAGTAAAAGACGGAAGTAGTATTCGCTACCGTAATTATTTTTCGAGAGGTCTTCGTGAAGAGGGCCACGTTATGACATGGTGGATCATTTTATTCACTTGCAGCGCTTGGAGATTTCTCGAAAAGAATGCCGGAGACCTCACGGAGACAGCTTCAATCCTACTCATATTATCATCCTTTTTAAGCGACATTTAATTATTCTCTAATTATTTTATTCAACAAGCTAGTGGTGGTTGACGTAAATTTTTCTACTTGCAGCTGGTTATGATTTCGTTACTATATTTTTCGAAAGTTCTCAATAGGTAGATCAATCTTCGAACGCGACATATTTCAACCTCATACGACATATAAACAACTTATTTCAATACGAACAATGATTTCCTTGGAAGTTCCTAAATATGAAACGTAACTTGCTACAAGTAACTCTCTGGGGTCCAATACTACCAAGATAATCGTAATTGTATCTGGTCTTTACATTCTTAATACGTCCAATTTTATTATTAGCGGCGATAGTTACATCAGAGTTCGTTCTGAATTATTTCTTTCAAAGAAAGGAATTACATATCTTCAATTAACTCCAATCGTTTACATCTAAAAAAGATCGCGCGCAAAATTTTCTTGACATTCACGAGAAATTGTAATATACGATGTTTTAAATATCTATGCCATTTCCAATAAATCGTTTTATAATTTATATCTTTACGTTATTTTGTAACAATAACAAAATCATGAATTTCATAAGAAGTTCAAGGCGTAGTGAGCGTTTGAAAAATTGAAAAAATCGTTCGTAATCAGCCGTGTCCTTCCGAACGCAATTCTATGGAACACAGACCTACTTTCACCATTCTCATAGACATAATTAAAGGCAACTTTAATTTCACGGATGGAATTCACAATTTAGGCAATATTTCGGCATTTATCGCTTAGCCGCGTTTTACGCCTTGAAACGAGTAACTTTTCAGCAACTACAATGAAGACTGAACTGACGATTTGTATCAGATCAGAGACCTTACTATTAAGAAGTATATAAATGTGGCCTGGTAGCACTAGGACGGTTAAACTTTGTCTCAAAAAGCAATTGTTATAATTAATAAAATTATTTATCGTAGTTACAGATATTCAGAGAAAAGAAAGGCAGACTTCATTAGTCATTTGTACGGGGTTGCCAAAGTAATGCCTTCCATTTATTTGTATGACAACTTTTGTAAATAAAAAACCACGAACTTCCTATAATGTGTTAGAATGGAGTTTTTTTAACAACACTTATTTAATACAGTCCCCCTTTTTCTATGCATTTTATTCGCCGATGAACAAGAGCGTTAGCGCAAGGTAAAAATCTGTACCACGCGCGGTGACCCGTGTGGGCGCCATTCCATGAATTCTTTTATTTCTCGCTCATAATGGTGACACGTCTCGTCATCAGAGATCTTTCAGTTCAGAAAATTCAGCTTCGCATTGGGTCAAAAACTACTCACACACTTCCATTCGGTGCTGTTTGTGTTTCAGTGTAAGTGACCGCGGGAACAATTTTCGGTGACTCAATTTCCTCAGCGTTACCTGTGAAGCATTAGAGCCAATATTCAGGTCGATACGCACTTGCCCAGCACCGTACACAGTCCCCCCCCCCCATGCGCCTCTTCGCGCGGATGAGCTAATCGAAGCGCTACTTCATTGCGTGATGTGGCAGCTGTGCGTGGACGACCGCAACATGGGTTTGTCTTTCGCGTTGCTGTCACCACCATTGAAACGCCCTACCCATCGTCGCCATTCTGTAGTGACATCCCACAGTATGTTTCCCGTTGACGTTCAGCAAGGGACTGTGGCTGTCAATATATGAAATTTCCTCCGAAGTGAGAAATTCAGTCACATCTCTGCTTCTGACACGCGTTCCAGCCAGACGCCAGTTTAGCGCACTGTAACTGTGCTTCTATCAGATAAATAGTGACAAACATTAACGTGAAGGATCAAACTCCACTAACATAGTACTCACATTCGTTTCTGAGGTCATATGCCAGCATAAAAAAATGGAAGACATTAATTTTGGAACGACCCTCGTAATGATCATGTTGTTCAAGTTGTGTTTACTTTCACTGTAATTGTTTTTACTGTAAATTTGTGCGTTCTTTGGTTGAAATTTATCAAAGGTATTATTAAAATTTGATGCGTTATTAATGTGAAGTTATTTTGGTGCATATTATCCGACGTTCCTGTACAACAGCTCTTTAATTTTCAAGATTTTCCGCACTACGAGACAATCCCACGAACATTTTGGACAGCACTGTTCTCTTCCCCAGGTGGGAAGCGGGAGTACTTGTGGGCTGCCTGAGACGGACCGTGAATCGGCTGCGCGGGAGAAGAAAAGGATACTCCTCGACCCAGGAGAGAGGGAAGTTGCCTGTTGAAGAGGTTATCTCAGGCACTACAGGGAGAGAAACCAAATCCACAGGGAGAGAAATGAGGGAAATCCTCACCGTCAAAAATGTTTTTGTAACTAATAATTTTAACTGTTCACGAAACTTTCAAATAGAAATATTTTCGGAGAATTATTAAAACAAATACAATCGAATCGCAGCATGAGCGGAGTGTAGCCTGAGACATTTGACAAAATCTGTAATAGGACGCATCCGACCAAAACATTCTGAATTTCCCCTACCAAACTTTTTCACTGGATCCGCCTCTATTATCTGTAGTTAAGGTCAATTAAAAATACTCTTTGACCAACCAAATGTATTTCGCGAAGAATGAACAAGAAATGAGATATTACGCCCCCAAATCATGTAATATTTTGTCATCTTTATTTTTTTAAATATATTTTCTATGTACAGTTTATCATATAAACACTGTATATATTTTACTATCCAATAGTTATACTTATATTCATTTTAATAAAAAATCTATAATACGTTTATTTTCCGTAACATTTCTTCGAACATTTATAATCAAAACATTGAAAAAATTGTTATATTTCACCTCTGAATGTCAGGTCACAACAACTATTTAAAGCATAAACAATATAACGTCAATATCAAATGTAAACAGTATTATTTGTTAATTAGATGTGTACGTAAGCTTCCGCGGCTCGAATCCATGAATTCTCGGCTATCCGGGAGACGCCGCGTCGTTGGCTGGGAGGCCGATGTTTCGCCTGACATGTTTCAGGCCTCCTCAGGGCAGTGACTTCGTCATGTCAGGCGAAACGTCGGCACCCCAGCCAACGACGCGGCGTCTCCCGGATAGCCGAGAATTCATTTATTTGGTAATTAATTTGTCACATATCTGCAAGTCTGCAAACTATATATTCGATATTCAAATGTATTTAGCACATAATAATATTTTTAATAAATTTAAAAAAAGAGCGGCTTATTGAAAGAAATTCCCTTCAGACAAGTTACTATTAACGTCACTACATGGTACTCGATGTCACATACTGTATTGCAGGGGTATTGCAGCGGTTAGGCTTCTGGCAGAGGATGAGAGGGGAAGAACATCCTAGAAACAGCTGTCAGGCACGTCAAGTTAAAATATCCTACTTCTCACGGTTATAGAAGAAAAATGTGGACTCTTCGAAAGGATATTATCACGAGCGAAAAAGACTGAAATATACCTGTTTCTGACCCTCGCACGTTCCGGACGATCGTTAGGTGAATTTATTTCTGTTTTAGTCAAGTATGAGAGTATGAGAGGTTATTTTTAATATGCCATGATTCTTTAAGTTTCAATATTTTCTTTCAAACTAAATTTAGTAATCGTAACCAAGACAAAAAAATTAAGTATTAAATGCGCCTTTTAATTTAAAAAGAATTACGGAAAAATCAGAGGCAAAGTATAAAATGAAGCTATTTTTATAACAAAAATACACTGTTATTATTTCTAGTATTTGTGAAGAAAAATACTTAAATGAAATTGAATTCAAAAAACTGATCAGACAACGCAGATCATCACACATGTTTTGATAACTTCCATTGTAATAATTTTATATTCATTTTTTTTTTATATCCCAAGACTATAATTCTAAAATTTTAAATTAAAAAGAAAAACAATTACTGATATACAAGTCAGTCTACAACGCCATTAGTGAGCGCATAACTCACTGTCCACCAAGACCGTCCGACTGAAGAAGATCGACCAACAGGAGATTAAAAGATTAAGAAAAAAAATTAAACTTAATTTTTAAAAACGAAATTTATTATTCTAATGTTTTAATGAAGTGGCCTCAATCGGAAAGTTGAAAGAAATGGTATTTTCAACACAAATCTTTGATCAAATTCTCGGGTTTGTACAAGAGGAATTTTATAATATTTGTACCATTTTGTAATGTTTGGATATGCAATATTTGTACCAGAGGAATTTTGAACCGTTCACAATTTTTTGCTTGAAATTTTAAGAGAACCACCACGTTGACTTAAATGTCTGAAAAATGGTAATTCTGCACTATACTTTCTTTAATAAATGACAAATTGTTGTCTTATTCTGATCTGAATATAGATGAGAAAAATATTAAGGATATTTTAGTATAGACAGTGGGAGAGTATCTACTCAAAGTTCAAATTCAGTAAACATCAGTTTCTCAAAATATATCAAAATATTGTATGGGAAAGTGTCTTAGGAGGTAGTTGTGACTTGTCGAATTTACCGACCTATCGAGTCTACATTCAAGGCAGCGCCTGAAGCGATGCAACCCGACGTACTTCAAAGCTCAACTTCTTGCATGTTCTGACGTCACAGCACGGGGTTCTACCATGTCATTCAGACTTTCTCCGGCAGAGCGCATTGCAGCCAGAGTCAGCTCCTTCCATTGCCTATCTGCCCAACAGCTGAGTTTAATGGGTTGCCTACTGTCCAGGCGTAAGAGCGTATTCATATATTCCGTCTCATTAAATACCACTACAACGACAATTATGACAAGATACACAAAATACGATTCAAAGTACAAAAATAGTGGGTCACAGAAGTGACAGTGAAATAGAAAAGAGATAAAAAAAATCAGTGTGCGAAAAATGTATTTTATATCCCAGTCAAAATAGAACAACACTCTATTTGGTAGAATAGAAAAGAAATTCAGCATTTTAATAAACTGCAAATCCAGTAAGAGATCTAAGCATGATACAAGCGAAAGCACAAAAGTTTGAGAAATAATCTTCAAAGAACGGGAAAAAAAACTGGTTGTTCTTTGTAAAACTTTGAGCACTGACTACAGACTACACACTGACTACAGAAAGTAAGAAACAAAGATTTTAAGGGACTGTTAAATTCCGATAATTTATTGAAAATTTCGATTACCCTAAAATAGACAAATTTCACGCGACAGTCGCTAATATTGTAAGCGGGGAATTTTTTGATACATTAAAACTAGTACTTAACTATCCAGTATCATACCCAAGCAATATTTCAGCATTGTTCCTAAAAATAAGGAATGTGAAGACATGGCAGATAGGATTAAGCCACAAGCTCTGGTCAATATTTGTTATCCTTTCCATTTCATACCACGATACTTTTTGTGGACACTCCCACAAACCTCGACCAAGCGCTTGCGAAAGCGCCGGCCTCATGACAGACAACGGAGCGGCGGCGGGAGCGCCGGGTTCGTGTCCCGGGCGCGATCGATGTCGGGCGCAGGAGCCGCCGCGAGGCTCGTGGGGCACTCACCGGATGTAGGGCACGTTGGCGGGCACGTGGTACTTGGAGCCCGGGTCGAAGTCGATCTCCGAGCGCAGCAGCGGCGGCTTCACGCCAGAGATGCGCTCCCTGCGGAACACCAACAAATGGCTCAGTCGCAAACGCACACACCTTGCTCCAGGAACAGATTTTCCCTAGCAAATGTATTACTGCACTATTTAATTGGAGGATTTATTTAGATCTAGGGGCATTTATAACTTTAGTTTGGGGGACAAAAGGAATTTTCTTTTTTTCTATACGTGTAGTGGTGACAATGAGCTGGAACTTTGTTAATATTTCTCAGTTTCCATTTGGATAGATTTGTTTTTTTGATTCTCTTTGTATCCACTTTTTGATCTTCCAAAAATCGAATATGGCATTTTGATTGTCATTTTTTTTAACATAAATAGTAAATACGTTCCAATTAAATAACACGAAATGGATATTTCATTCAAGTCTCTGTCTACGTCGTATCGTTTATGACACTCATCACCTTCCTTTATTTTCATTTTTCCAGAAAGCTTATTCAATGCACTCAAAAGCTATGCAGTGCACACTGGTGTAAATACATCATCCTCAAATCCATTATTTATTAAAAATAATTAATATTGTTAACTGCAAATCTACTAACTCCTATCTGTCCATCTATAACAAAAACCCAAAATGTTTATGTCCACCAAGCCCAATTACTGTAATGACCAATACAGATCTCAACAGTTGTTTTTTTTATTTATTCAAGTATTTTACAGCACATTTATAAAATATTATCATTACATTGGTAAAATTAAATTGTAAACAACTTGACCCTGAGGACTACGTAAATACATAATGAAATACATCATTTTGAGGTTAATTCTTGACACTTATAATTTAAAATAATCTTTGGAAATTGCTTTAAGAACTATTAAGCTTCTTGCCGTACAAATTTCATATCATATGATATGGAGCAGATAGAAGTAGAATTAGAATTGGTATAGCTAGTCAAATACTGCATATTGCATTGCAAATGGTTCGTCAACTGTTGATTACTCCATATTCTCCTTCAATTATATATTCCAATATATAATTGAAATATCTTCTTCACTATATCAGAGTCTCTGTTATAATTATTTTTTTCGATTGTGCTTTGATTTTATCTTTAGATTCATTCTGTGCGACCCAAGTTCAAAACATTTTATATTCTGTTTAAAACCAAATGCTGTACATCATGGAAAATATGGAAACAAAACTTTTATTGACAATTGTTTTGAAATGCATGGTCAATATAAATAGTATAATTCATACAATGTATATATAATTTCTATTTTCAATTTATTGGACAATTTTTTTAAAACTAACTCAGAAAATTAAAAAAATATATCAAGCCTTTACAGTTCAGTACTTCCAGGATTCCTGTTAATAATTATCAGGTTCATTTTTGTTTGTATGTTATTCAAAAAAATTAAGAGACACCCATTGTCACTCGAGTCGATAGTTCAGTCTTAGATTATTCTCATATTTCTCTCATTTGTTTTCTCAGGACGTCTGTAATAGTATCGCATGTCCCTTTGGAAATTAATAAGCATAATTATTATTCATTCAAATTTTACTAAACCAACATTGCGCTTTAATATTGCTCTAGTCGTATATTGTTTCTATCCCGCGTATTTGATTTGTCTAGTTTTCCCGTCACCTGCGTTAAGTTGGGACCCGTCGGCTTTACGCATGTTACAGTCTGCCTCCACTGCCGTTTTCAAACGCACTTGTAGCTCCCTTCTGCTTTTGAGTGCGTTAGAAAACTATGTAACAGTAGATGTAACAATAGATTCAATTAACTTAATTTCATTTCACATTTCAAAATTATTTTCAGTACATTGACCCAACAGTTTATTAATAAAGAGAATTTCCGTTCCCATAGTTCTGATTTTCACTGAAGTTCCGGATTTGCAACACTACGGTAATAGGACTCCCTTATCCTTCTGTATATATGATTATCCGCAAAGCGTGTTAGTTTCGGCAGCAGTGGCTCCACCTGCGGCATCGCGTCTGTGAAGCCCGGCCCCACCCACTTGTTGCGCCCTCAGTGCCCTACGTGGGCGACCCAGTGCACAGGGCACAGGTCACCCGCCGCGCACGTCCCTTTGGCGCAGTGGAAAGCGCGTTGGACTTCTAATCCAAAGGTCGTGGGTTCGAGCCCCACAAGGGATGGTCGTTTTGGGCACTCGCGCGCCCTGCATTCGACACCTTGCTCCACGGCCGCTCTTCATTAGCATTCGAACAGCGAGAAACACTCACGGGGCGGTCAAAATCTCCGCGTTAGTTTTACAGACAACAGGACGAGAGGTTTCGTGTCTTCGCGGTAAGCGGTTTGCAAGGGAGCGGGCACACAGAAGACCGGACGGCCTCGTCGTGCTGGCGCGGGGTGACAGGTGCTGCGCTCTCGTAGCGCACTCTCAAACCTCCTGGAAGGCCGACGCGCGCCTGCCCGCCGCCGGCTGAGAACGCAGATGTTTTCCCACGGCTGTCGCAACGCTCACTGAAGATCACGTTTTGCGAGGGTTCGTAGGAGCGGAGTTTTCCAAACACACCTTGCAATGTAAGTACCGCGAAATTTACACTCCGCTGCGGAGGTTGTGAGGAAATTCGCGGCAGGGGTGGGGGATGTGTGACGTGCATTGTAAGCGAAATCTGTTGGTATCTTTGAAGAGGGCGAAAGAAACTCGTACAATTAATTTGAAGAGTGAAATCACTTCTCAGTTTTTCTCACGCGAATTTGAAACGTCCGTGCAAAAGTGCGAAATGCGCTGTCGTAAAATAGAAATATACTAAAAATCAATATTTTGATACAATGGAATACAAAATGTATCTATGATATGCTTCGAGTAATTTTCACATACTAATTTAGGAAGTACAGAAATTTTATACACCATTATTTTCAATTAATGATAAATAATCCTGTAATTCATTGATGGAACATATGTGGAACTAATTTTTTACACTTCTTTTAAAACAAAAAAGTTGTCATGAACCTAACGAAGTACGTTGAACATAATTAAAAGCAGGATATAAACAGCATGTGATTTTTTTATAAATCTCACATAGGATTAGGAAATTAAATTTGAAATCACCTTCACTTCTCGTATTATATATTTTCAAAGCTAACACTTATTCACACGTCTATCTATAATAATAAGTACTCCAAATGATAAATACATACGGATTCTTTTGCCATTGTAGGACAATTCTGACCACATACTCATCAAACAATTTTACTTCAAAATAATTTCACCACGCGTTCATCTACCTTTAATACTGTAAATCATATTAATATTCATATAATCTTCTAAAAGGAAATTCCGATCAAGATCAAACGTATGCTTATTAATGCAGTTGCTTTGACAACACAGCCATGAAAATTATAAAAACAATGACTCGATGTTTAAAAAATACTGTAAATGCTACATAAGCCATTCAGAAAATTCAATTATTTAAATAAAATAAAGAAAATATTCACACGTTAATTGAATTAATTGCTGCCAGGTGAGAATAGATATTTCATATTAAATTGATTAATACATGTATACTCACGTATTAACTTCATTGTCCATTGACCTTTATATATAGACTACTTAAGTAAGATTAGATGATTTTCTGAAATGAACAAATAAATCTTCCTTACAGAAATCTTCCCTACATCTGCCTATTTCCTTGTCAACATTGGAGATTCAATAACTGAGCCTTCATTGTTAATGAATTGCGTCAATGTTTGTAACTGACATGTTGTAGATAACAATTGCATAAAAACAAATTATGTATACGTTTCATTTCAGTTAACACACAATATTTTGGTAGCCACCTTGGTTCCTATAAATTTCTTATGGCTCCCATTAGCTCCTCTCGCCTACCCCATCAGAATGTCCACATTTTCACACTAAATAAAACCTTACTTTCCTCTTTAGACCATAACTGTTTATTGTTTCTATACTATTTGAGGTAGCTTCTTGATGAGCAGAAAAATAAAACACCATCTTCAGTTCCCTAGGGCTGAGGAAGCGAAAGAAGGCAATGAAAAACTCTTGCGCCCTGTACGTAGTGCATGTGTGCAGCGTCCCTATCTCCTATTTTACGAGCAGTTTGGAGATCCCTGGGGGTGGAAGGTGGAGTGGAAGAAGGGATCTTTGTAGCATTACCTCTCTCCTTTGCGATGCCATCACCCCAGCTTATATTTTAATTCTAGCTTGTACTCGATGTTCATATTAATTGTGTTACATGTGAAATAGATGATTTCGCTTAGATTTAGATTTATTTAGTTCAAAAAATAAAAGCTATGTGTGACATATGGGGGAGAAGATCATAATTTTCTTGAGTTCCAGAATCCCTTCTCATCATTTTAACTATTAATGGTTGAAAGATAAGTAAAAGTTGAAGATAAATATTTTTTTAATTAAAAAAAGCACGAGATTAGCAAAAACGTGATTTGAATAAATAGACATTTTCGTTCACGAGTCATAAAAAACTTATTTTCAACGGTAAACAAACTGCAGATTTAATGTTTTCTGCATGGCTAACAAAATAGTAACCCGCCGTTGCCTCTACTGCTACCACTAAAAGCAAAAGGAGAGTTCAACAAAATGTGCGCATTGTGAAACTACACTGACATCCAGAAGCAAAACAAGGGGCCATCTCAGCATTTGCTCAATGAGTCAGCAAATCTGGATAAAAACTTGATCGAAATGAAATGGAGATCTTTGCTTAATAAGATGTGGGAATGAAGAGTAATGCATGTAAAACAGAGTTATTTCGATGAATATAAAAGCAAATGTTAATATCCATTTTCATTTTTTCGCTAGCGCCACCTACAATGTTAATTGACAAAATGTGTTTCCTATACAAATTAGCGGCCATTGTTGCCTGTTGCAGCCCATTATTGTAACACCGCATTGACTTCAGAAGGCGATAATAACGGCTGCCTTTCGTTCGTTTTAATGTAAACTAATACTTTTACATATTTGGAGAATATTGCAATACTATAGTGTTTAATCATTTCAATTATATATTTTTCGATCTATTTGCATTAGTTGTACAAATCTATCATTATCGTATTATTTATTAAATTCTAATTATTTTACTTTCTCGCATACTGCTTACGCAGAATATTGTAAGGCTAAACATCATATCAGATTTGTTCACGGTGTTAATACATAACATTCCTTATACAATGAATGCAATGCCGGAATTATATTTTCATTTAACGTTTTGAATACAAAATTTATTGCTTTAATCTATTTAATTTTATAACCAAACGTTCTAAGATTTCAAATGAGTTTTACAAAAATTATGACAGATGTGTTAATTCGGAGAGAAATTGTCGTATAAATTCTTTTACAAAACCATTCCTAAAGGCGAGAAAGCACCACTAGTTTATAATTCTTTACAGCACACGTATAAAAGATTAAAACGTCTAACATCAAAGCACCGATTGATCGATTTTGACTGACTGATTGTTAGTAATTCCCAGCACGACAACTACTAGTGTCATTATTCCCGTAAATGTAGCGCATGTTTCGCTCGAGAAGTGGCGGTGGTTTCACCCCGCTAAATGACAAGATCCGACGCGAACCTACCATCGGTTAGCGGGGTTTTCACTGACCAGTTTTCTTCCACCAGCGGGGCACCGCCCCAGCCGGGACTGGCTCTAAGCTTCCGACCTGTCTCATGGCACGTGTGGTAGTGTAATGCATGTTAGTGTAAGTAATGGATGAGGATATGTTTAAGGAAGAGGAGGTTAAGATCGCGCGCGGTCCGTGGTCCGTTTGTTAGGGAACTTCTCCGGCATTCGCCTGGTGCTGATCCGCGAAAACACGGAAAACTACCTATCAGAGCAGCTGGCCGCTAAAATTCTCCTCCAGACAGCAACTGTATTCGATCTAGCTGACAAGCTAGTGTCGAATATCTCGCCACTTAGGACCTCCCGGTCAGAGAGACTGCAGGGGCTGACATTAGTTTATGCCCTGAGCCATCAATTCTAAAATGTAGTGTACGTGTAATTTTACTGTTGTTAAATTTAGCACCGCCAACATAATCTGTTTTAAAACTGATAGATAAACTGTTGAGCTACACCTTTCCCACCGCAAGATCACAGTGCTTCTCCTTACCGCAGTCGCCAGAAGTGGCAGTTGTACTGCAGCTTGGTGACGCTGCCTTCGAAGATGTCCCAGCGCCAGCGGTCCAGCACGTAGCTGAAGGCGAGGAAGGGCAGCTTGTCCAGCGCCATGGCGAACAGGTAGTTGATGGTGTGCGGCAGGTCGTCGGTGGCCTTGTGCACCAGCCCCAGCGTCTGCAGGTGCTGCGGGCTCTGCACTGACAGCGCCACCGCCTCGCCCACCGCCTCGTGGAACCCTGCGCACACGCACGCAAAGATATAGCCGAATTCCCCCCCTATGACCGTTAACGTGGGGGCGTGGCACACGAGAAGTGAGTATTTACTTGGCTGTCCGGGTGACGCCGCGTCCATGGCGAAGGTGCCGACGTTTCGCTCGCTATTCTGCGACCTTCCTCAGGGCGTAAGGCGCGGAGATGTACTGCGCACGAGTTACTGAGCAGCACGCCCTATTTTAACTCGTGCGCAGTACATCTCCGCGCATTACGCCCTGAGGAAGGTCGCAGAATGGCGACCGAAACGTCGGCACCTTCGCCATGGACGTGGCGTCACCCGACAGCTAAGTAAATACTGACTCCGGCCGCGGAAGCCTATGCTCTCACGACAAGTGAGACTCTGCGCATGCGCAGTTAAACCATATGAGCTTTCTAACGCAGTTGGTGGGTGGGCTAGTTGCATTTGCCTCACAAAAAGGGTTCTCTCAAAACCTGGGTGAAGGCTAGCAAAATTTACTTTATGCTCTACTAGTTGAATGTGACGTAAACTGCATTAACGCTGTACCGACGCTGTGAACTGAATTAAAAGTACTTCCATATGTTGAAAATGTCTAAATGTCATGCATATCTTTATTCAAATACGTTCTTGTATTATCTGGCCTAGGACGTACCACTGAATCGTAATAGTTGATAATGTTATACACCTGTTCAAAAAATTCCAACATTCAAAGGCTTTGTATGTTACCTCCATTCGGCATATGAACTGGTAAACACTGAATTTCAAACTTTTAATGGTCGTTAAAAAATACTTGCAGGTATGGATGATGCGAATAATTAGAATTTGGTACAGTTACATTTTTACGCTTTACGCACAATTATTCACACGTTATGAAAGATCACCTGTAAGCTGTTCTTAACCGTTATCAACTAATTCTAATAGAAGATAATTCTGAAAATTCTGTTTTCCTCCATCCACATATGATACTTTCCAGATTTGCTTACCTCTACTATATTTTTGTTCCTAATACTTTAAAAGATTACAACGGTCACCTACGGCCACCGACCGCTAATCGCCGCTCGACCAGTAATTTTCCGTATTCCCAATGGAGGCACGTTCGGCAGGTGGATCGTTTCTTTTTTTTAATATTATTATTTTTGAGCGCCGTAATGCACGAATTCTGAGATCACATTCCTCTCTTACACGAATAGTATCTCATAACTTGGCAAAGACCATCTTTGCAAAACAAATTAGACGATTTCTCATTATGAGTAAGTGAACGAACATTCTTGTGAATTAGAAAATTATAAAGTACGTTTAAAATGGTTTTTATATTCAATTAATTGTTTAACATTAAAACTGTGATGAGAATTACTTGCACGTTGTATTATGCATGCATACACTAGTAATATTCCCCTCAATTTACAAGAGGGGCACACTTTTACTTAGTAATGCGGAAGAGCAAGTCAAATATACTAGTGAACATAAATTCTCTTAATATGCAATGTAGTTTAAGAGATGTACTTGAATTTGCACATTTTTTATATTATATTAGTTAAAAAGAAATTTAAATAAGTATTGTTCGTGAAGTTCAAATAAGTACTGTTAGTGAACATGAGCTGATTTGTGCCTTCAATATATCTCATTGGAAGATTTGCTTACCAGGATTTGCCCCATCACGGAAAACTTTCGGTAAATGTCTGTAATTGAGGAAGTACTGGATGTGTCCCAGTTCATGATGAGCAGTGACTAGGTCGCGCATGTTCACCTCCGTGCACATTTTCACCCTGTAGAAAATAACATCAATATTAAAAATTTTATTTGATACTTCTTTTCAAAGCAAACTTTTCGCCAGTGTTCGGAAAGTTACAATGTAAAGATATCATTCACCACCAAGCAAAAAATTGTGAAACGAACAGACAACTATCTAAAAATCAACAATAATGTTAAAAAACATCATAATAAGAAAGCCAAGTGACAGAAAATAATAAAAATGAACACAATTATAGAGACATCACATTATGACACCAGAATATGAATGAAACAAACTTAAATAACAAATAATATTCCCAATATCACCTGATGAAATTAAAGTTATTCACTTGTATCACGGTCACAGATGTTGGTATTGCAGGATAATCAGCAAATTATGATTGTGAATTAGAAAAAGTATTGAATTCAGAAGGAGATTTAGACACGCATTTGCCAATAGAACTACGAGAGTTTGAAATATCAAAAGGTAAGTGAAGAGAAGATATACCCTTTAAAAATGTTAGGGCGCAACAAAAAAGATGTAGGATAAATTTAAAAGCAAAGAACACAACAGTGTAACAATTATATTTTGTGCCTTACTGATAAACATAGGTGAAGTACTACACAAAACAACGTTTAATGTAGTGTAAAGCAATGATAATAAAAAATATTCGTGTAAAGTAAGAAAATAGAAGAGGAATAGAAAACAAATCGGACAAACAAAATCAAAAGAAAAAATTATAATTCAAAACAACAATATTAATTAAGAATTGAGAATACGTCATCCTCAAAATATATCACAATATAGATTGAATATAAAGAATCAACAGCCAAACAAGTGATTCGAAGTTAATTTATGCCATCTCCGGTGGATCTACAAAATGAAAATGAGTAAAAGATGTAAAGACTGTAAAGTTTATAAAAATATAAATCTAAGTATTATGGATTAAACACGTAGGACTTACGTCGGCGCCATCTTGTATGTACATTCTTTATACTAAATTTGTATTGAAATATACGTAGTGGTTGATATCTCCTAAATTCTTAATTAATATAATAATGAATTACCTCAATAATTTTTAAAATGCCACCAATTTTTAAAATGTATTTTTATTTATTTATGTTAAACTTTTACTAATATTTCAACTACTTGTGGTTAAAATGACGGAAAGGGATTCTGGAACTCAAGAAATCGTGCGCAGATAATTTTCCCCTCCTACGTCACATACCGTTTTTACTGATTTTTTGACCGAATCAATCTACATCCAATATATCTGCTTCGAGCACGTAATTCGTTCCAAATAACCGTCTGCGCGCCCACCTGTAGGTGCGCCGGTCGCAGAAGTCCCAAGCGGAGGGCTGGCACACGACGGGGCGGTCGGGCGGGGCTTCGAGCACGGAGCCGGCCCAGAACTCGTTGGGCAGTAGGCTCATGTTCATCGACAGGTAGAAGTCCTCGGCCAGCTTGAACATGGCCAGCGGCGTGTAGCCCTGCTCCAGCATCTGCGGCGTCACGTCCACGAAGTTCTTGCCCGGGTACGGCACCGTGATGTCCAGGATGTTACTCCACGACTGGCCCCACATGTTGCCTGCGAAAACATTTTCGGCAGTTTTTTTACTTTTTACTATGTACATTTTGTAAACAAACACGTTTGACCTCTTACAAGTTTTGAATATTATAAAGTGTTGGTAACTTCGAAGTCATAGCATCACATTTATGTACACAATCCATGCTAAACGTGAAAATCAATTAAAAAAGGTTATCATTTTAAGAAATTAATATTGGCTAACACTGTTTACTTTTTTAATAAGACAGGCTGCGTTCGTTCAGAGCCAGCAATGGTCGCTGCCTCTGCAGCGGCTGCGAATGTAAGGTCATTGACACTAACTACATACAGCCGACTCTGGTTATAGGAAACTTGTGGGGACTAACACCTTCTTTCTTTATTTTCAATTGTTTGCGTCGTACATTTTTCATTAGATCCTCCTCCAGAATTAGTGCTCTCTCTATACTTGATTCTGCATGGTCGTCTGTTTCCAACTACGGTAACGCAGTCTTGTTACCTTTAAATGCCTCTTTAACTGTTGGAACACCAACCCACTCTCCGAAGACCCTTTCAATCGCTTCATAACACACGAGAACCAATTACTTTCTAGGACTTACTTCCTACGTTCACAATAGTCGAGGTGTAGGTTCACTATAACCGAATGATCTTATGCTTATTTGTACTGTAAGTGAAACGGAATCAGTGACGTTAGTTCACTATAACCGAGGGTTCATTATATTCGAGTTCATTATAACCGGTGTCGACTGTAGTTAAGACGAATTCAATCGCAGTCCGAAGAAATTTTTTAACTGCTGACTGATCTGATCGTTTGGACCGTTAACAAGTATTATTTCCTCTTCCCCGTCCTATTCTCTTCTCTTATACACACTCGCGCATACACACAAACACACATTTACATACCATACACTTCCACATATGCCGGGAGACCGGTAGGGAGCATTGATATTGTCCGGGCTGGGGCGGTTCTCCGCTCGAGGGAGGTACCTTGAGTGGGGGAATTCCCCCGCAAGGCAACGAGGTAGGTGCAGAAGGTCTTACGATGCACCAGAAGAGGAACACCTTCACCTCTCAGGATAAAACATTTCCTACACTAAGGGATACAGCAGTAAACGTGCCCAGAATCACCAATCAATCAATTTTTTTAATGATTCTAACGAAGTATGACAATTTAATATGTACGATTTCTTTGATTAAATTAATTTTATTTGTATTTTATGAAATGGCATTCTCACCCTATCTGACAATAGTAAAAGGATGTAATGTCAGTATCTGTATCGATATCAATATATATATTCTAGTGGTAAGGTTGTTAGCACACTGGCTTCCGAAACCACAAGTTCGCGCATTCAAACCCAGCCAGGGTGGGGATATTCTTCTCGTACGAAGAAGAGCTTGATTTTCATTACGTACAAGATGGCTCAAGGAACAGCGGTTGCCACTGCAGTGTCTCTGACTCTATCTAGGATCATTGACTCTACAGGATAGCTAGGTCGAGTTCAGCTAGAGAAGAATTCTCGCGCCAGGCTGGACTTGAATCGGTAGTTTTTCGTGTCTTTTTTCGATCATTACCAGGCAAACACAAGAGCAGAATCTTAAAAAAAACGCGCGTAACACTTCATTCCTCTTCTTTGTACACACATCTTCACTTACACACACACACACGTACATAGCTGCTTGCTCCGCCCTATCATCCATATGTGGAGTCCAGATGGCAGCTTAGGGCTTACCCCGGTTGAGCACTCAGGGGAAACCCGTCAAGGCGACATCTTTGTCGTCGCCTACTCTCACATTCGAAGTGTGAGTGTTCTATGGTAATATCACGAGTGCTTTGGGAAATCTCGATAAATTCCCGAGTCGCGAAGCGAGAAGGGAATGTATCTGAGAATTTGAAAATCAAGAATGGTATTTAATAGAACTATTGCACGAGTGAAATTATGTCCAACAAAGTTCTAAAGTGCATCAAGTAAAAACAACTGAAATTGTATGTTAAAGATATGCTATTGTGAAAGGTTATATTTAAGTACATGTTGTTTATTAAACATCGACCGATGTATACCCCCTTCTAAAATAAGTCACAGTTAATGATTGGCCAGTTGGTAGAAGCGCTAAGAAAAAACGGATAGAAAAAGCGAAAAACTTCTTGAGCTTGATTTGGCATTATTAGTGTACAGTAATCAGAATTTAGTTGACTTACTGTCTTCAAAAAATTCCTACATAAATTAATACAAATCCGATATCTTTTGCTTATTTTTCTTCCGCCCCGAATTTTATTCAAATTATCCAAAATTGCGGACTATCCGAATTCGGATCAGCGGTGTTCGAAATGGCGGTGTCAAAATGGGCGGTGTCCAAAATGGCGGTATTAGAAATGGAAATTTTGAAATTGCGGGTTGTTACAAAAGGTGTACCGAAATAGCGAGTGTACCGAAATAGAGTGTGTTCCGAAATAGCGAGTGTTCCGAAATAGCGAGTG